AATTATACAGTACTATTGCTAATATTGTACCATGGGACAGCCCTTGTGCGAAGAACTTTCAAAACTAAAGTCTTACCTGGGATTCAGTTGAGTCTTGCTTTATTACCTTGCAAATGAGTATAGCTAGCGAAATGCACACAAGTTGGGTCCAAGTGAAAAGGAAACGCTGGCGCCCACCTGATGAGACTAAATAAGGACAAAACCGGTTGTGGGTCGTTGGAGAGAGTCCAGGAACCTTAGGAGTAATATTGTTTTTTTCACTTCAAACAATTCGAATGGTGCCCTCAAAATCTGTTGTTTTCGAGCAGTTCAACAATAGTTAAAATAGCATTTTTAATTGGGTTGACTTCTCGTTTGTTCTATTTTACAAAATAATAAGTCATCTAAAGTCTGAAAAGGAAACGCTGGCGCCCACCTGATGAGACTAAATAAGGACAAAACCGGTTGTGGGTCGTTGGAGAGAGTCCAGGAACCTTAGGAGTAATATTGTTTTTTTCACTTCAAACAATTCGAATGGTGCCCTCAAAATCTGTTGTTTTCGAGCAGTTCAACAATAGTTAAAATAGCATTTTTAATTGGGTTGACTTCTCGTTTGTTCTATTTTACAAAATAATAAGTCATCTAAAGTCAAGAGAGAGTCTTCAGCAACCTTGTGAGTAGTTTCCTTCAGCATCTAAAAATACTTTTGTCCAACTTTGTGTGATTTCCAGGGTATTTTGTCTTTTATGAGTGTTGCAATGTGTCAAATTCGCGAACAGTTGGGCGTATTTGTTACTGTAGCGGGAACCATTCTGGTTAATTGTGCAGCTACACGGCTTATTGCATGGTGCAAAGACCGATCAAGGATGTAACATTTTGGTAATTTTTGGCTACGTCAACTTCCGTGGTCCTAAAAAGCCGTTTGCCTAGATTTTGCTCCAACGTTTTACTGAGCAACTATCCGTAAAAACAATCAAATTCGACCGTTTGTGGTGACGTAAACCGAGGAGGTATAAACTGTCTCAACGTTGGTTATATTAGCTTTTTGACGTTATGTCCCAGTTCCTCGTCCGCCCGATAACTTCGTTTATGTATTCTTATCATGGGAAATGGCACTGACTATGCGCTACCATTTCCACGCAATACATCATTCTGCGCAGTGGAAAAAAACATTCTCTAAAAACTACCGCAACTCCAGCCCTCTAACCACTCTCCGAAAAACAACTACGACAACTACCTTACATTTCCTCGCCACCTAACTAATTATATCTCGAACACCAATTTAAACTAATCTCGTGGTTTCTCTTATTAGTACACCATTGCTCAAAACTCGCGTATTAGGCTGTAATATCAGGATCGCTAGGTGGTCGTTTTGAACAGCTTCCGTACTACCGACCAAACGAGTATCAAGGAAAAAGTAGCCGCATAATTACAGGCAACGGTGTTGTCTAAACTAATTTCTGGATTATGATGTATCGCTGTAGAGTGGATGAAGACTTTCATTTTTTTCAATAGGAATGCAAGCTTCCGTAGTGCCCCGATACTTACGATTCCAATCAACTCAAAAAACATCCCATCAATTGTTAATTGCAAGTAAAATTATACTGCCAACAAGTGACACGGAGACCATAACGTTCCAAGTCAGATTTAAGCCAATGGTAAAAGTTACCGCATAAAACAAAAATTCCTCTACTCTCTATCTCTCTCTTCTACACCTGACCAACTTTGTTGAAACCTCCTGACACAGACATGGTCTGGAAAACACGCCGCCTCAGAGTTGACAAGTGCATTCCGGTTGTTTTTGTCTAAATTAATGACTCTGATTATCACAAACAATGCACGAAGCTCCGGCGCCTTTATTGGCAACTTTCCGTCTTCCTAAATGACAGTGACCGGATAGGCCACAAAGCTCGCTAATCAGATGATACATTCAGCCTTTGTTGACGTGACAACCGCCCATACAAAGCGTCGTCGTCATATTGAGAAACTACCTTCGTTACCGTCATCATTGATTTCCCACAAATCTGCTTCTGGCGAAGTGAACTGTGTGCAGGTATATATAAAAAACCGCTTTTTCAGATTAATTCGCCGACAGATTTTGTAATGTAAATGTAAAAACCGAAATCTGACATGCGGTGTTTGCTGTTAAAAAGTTTGGCCGGAAATAGGCCACCATATTTGTTAAAATTTGATCAGTAAAGTATTCAGGTTGATGTTTGTCACCACCAAATTCTTCCATACAAAGATCTAAATGAAGTAGACAGCAGCGCATTGCATCAAATGGAACAGCAACTCTAAACTGAATGAATCATCTCTTGTTCACGAATATCTTGCCTTAGTCAGATCTCCTCATAAGGCTGTGGAGGAGTTTAACGAATATATCCCAAAGGCTTTATGAGTTGTCAAAACAAATTCCGGGATTTGGTGATAGGCTAAACACCTAAGGTTTCATACATTTCAGATTGCGCCTCACTGAAGACAAAACAGGTTTGGTTACTTTCAACTAATTAATCTGAGGTCGCAAAAAGCGCTGAAGCTCGAACAAGTTGAGTAAAATGGATGTAATGGATAAAATGACAAACAACCTGATACTTGATACATTAATTTCCTCGCAAGAATGCTGTTGTCAATAGTAGTGCATAGAAAATAATCCAGACGGCAACAGTGACACTGCTTTGTTTGATGTATAGACCGCCTATAACTCAAAATCGCCGAATTTTGCCGGTAAAGTGCTCGTTGTTCCTTATGAGACTTTTACTTAGAAGACGCTGAATAAAATATCATCGGCAAACTGATGTGAAATTACCGGCAATGTGCTCTTTTCCGTCAGTCCACATTCAGTTTGCAGATTATGGCAAAAAATGGTAGTGAGTTTTCGGGAATTGGTTGTGGGAAATATGGAATCGAAGTGGGAATCATCATTCTGAAAACAGTTTAAATAAAGGCCAGTTACTTTGTACAAATGCTTTGTCGGGTCGGGTGGATCGGTTATAAAGTTTATCAATTTTCGAGCTGGCTAAATCAGAGTCGAATGTCGGTTTAAATCTCTGATTAAAAAATGCAGGTGACTAGATGTTGGAACTCTTGGACAGAGAAGGTAACACATTATGAAATTGCGTCGAATTTTCAGTCTGTCGTCAAAGCTAATGGTTTCCGCGACTTTTATGAAAATAACGTTTGTTGTATTCTAATCAGCCTTATTTGTTCAGTCTTATGGTCATTGAACTCCTCATCACACCTCACCCCTTCTTGTCTATCGACATTACCAAGTCAAGTGCTATTATGAACTCGCATCTGCTATCTCGCTAATTCGACAGCACAACCTAACCAGATGAAAACCTGTATTTTTTGCACAGAATATTTTGTCCAATTACACTTGCACTTGAACAGCTGGACTCTGGGACCCACACTGTCGTTGAGACCGAAAATTTTTGTGATAATTACTTGTTCAGTGTGCGGAGTGGCAATGAGTAGTCCACTAACTTGCCCGACTCCCTAAGGTTTGTTTACCATGTTTTCAAACGTCTGGAAGTGGTTTTACTTATTTTTGCTGACTACCCAGAACTGAGGTTATCCTTTCTCTGGTGGTCCTTCAAGGGAGCATTGAAAAATACTGTAAACAAATAAAAAATGAAGCGCTGTTCATAGTTCAGCTAACTGAAGCAGACATCAATCTGGGTTCTTGTGAGTAGCCATGGGACACGTGATTTCCTGTTGCATGCTGCTGAACTGAGAACCACGCAGATGCCGGTAACATGTCTGTGGTACAAATGAGGCTTTATCGTTTAGATAGTTGATACGGTAGAGTCAACAGCAAGTTTCCGTGTTAGCAAGTACTAGCAATCTTAGGCGGCTTAAACTACTTGAGTGAATCTGATGTAACTATTTAGTGTGTGTCAGCTATACAAGCAGTTCTCCTCGTTATTTACAGGCAGATGCGATGACTGGTTCATGGGTAACGGCTTCAATGCAAAGACAGGCCTTGTAAACCTGCGTTCATGTAGTTAAATCATGGAGAATTAAATTACTTGGTGCCCTTTTGTGAGCGAAGGAGCCCAAATAGCTTTGCTTATGAAATTGTCAGTGGTGAGTTAGTGTCATCTTAAAAAGCCTACCAGTCACTCTTTGATGCGGTCCATCGACGGCAGAACCTTTCGAGAGATTGCATGGTTTAGGACAGATGGTGTAAAAACAGCAAGTGTCAGAGAAGTAACGACCCCTGCTTGTTCAGTTGCCATTATAAGAATGAGGTTCTTACACACACACCTCATACGTGTTGGTACGGATGTATAATGATAATTGGGTTGTGGTGACGGTACTCGAAGTTTGGTGAACCTCTTTGCAGCATACAGGGCTCGAGAGATCATCTTGTTTGGATCCTGCTCCGAATTAGGTGAACAATATCAGTCAGTGTAATCCGGCTGAAATGGAAATCAATCTGGTATCGCTGTGAATGAAGAGGGTTCGCGAATTCGTCCAGCTAGCCCGCGCAACAAATAATTGTCGTGTTTAGATTTAAACGTTTCTGTTTTAAAGTGTGTGTTTCTAGAATCCCAGGCTTTCTTTGAGGTCCCAATAACGGCATATTAAAAGAACCAATGTAACTTTTCTTTGTTGGTGATAATTATGTTGTCAAGGGCAAGTCTCTCCAAGAGATTATTTGTTCACGCTACCCCAAAGTAATGCACGTCAGAAAGGGCTGCAGGTTGGTAAGTGGCGTTTTTGGCTATGAACTCTGTCCGTTTAAACACCAGACAACGACCTTATCCGTTAGATCACATGGGCTGTCTGAAAAGATGGTTCGACAATACTAATAGTTGAAATTGTTTTCGTATGGATTGTGTCATGATGATTGAAATACGAAACGCAAAGTTGTGAGCAATCCTTATGAAAGTTTGCCACTCCCAAGCCGTGGCTGACTAGATCAACTCCAATGATCTCATGGGCTGCACCGCCGTAAATTCTTACCTGAAGTTCTTCTATATAACTCCGACAAATTCTTAAAGTCGCTCATTATTCAGCGAAATACACTCATTTGCAAACAAATTTGGTTATTTCGAGAGACACACCTAGAAACCCGCTGAATCTCTCGTTTGTGATGCTTCCAGGCAACTTAATGTGCTGCACCCGGTCGCCTCGTGTTTCAGTCGCTACGATATTCGAGATATCGCGATACACGTACATTCGTAATGCACTCATAAGGTTGCTGAAAAGTTTTCGACAGCATACGACCGGTTTTACCCTTCTTGGGGCTCATTACTTTCTCCTAACGGAGATGACTCATTTTCCTAATTTATTTGCTCTGACTTAACTAGATGCACTCAAAATTAAGTAGGTCTTCTCTGGTTGTCCATAAACACTTTGAAGTATTTCCCGGGAAGCAGTAGATCACTCATTAAAAAAATATCACTTTAAGCACGTGCCGGGCTTGAGAACGAAGACAATTAGTTTGAAAACCTTGGTCAAGATTTGTTCCACTCTCCTTGAATACTCTGCTTTTCAACAACTTGAAAACACGACTCAGGTCAACCTGAAATCTCAGAGGGCTGAGTCATCTGGGCGTAAACCACGCATCTTGCGACTAACTAATGTATCAAACATTGTTTGTTAACTGCCGCTTCGGTGAACTTGGAGTAGTCTCTTAGCGCAAATTATTGTGTGTGGCTTTTCGGTACACCCGTGGAAAAGTAAATTTGAACTGAAATTAGCTTGCTTTGCTCACCCATATTTGGTCCTCCCTTGTAGATTTAGATTCATTGAACAACTGCCCAAATCGGTCGCAGCTACGCCCACCCGATAAAGTTAAATGGCCTTATATGATTGATCACCAGCCGTATCTTCGGCAAACTAATTGCGTCAAAGTGATTAGACAGAGTTTGCCAAAGTTTATCTACGCACAAAATAATTTTTAGGCTTTTGCAACTTGTTATATTATTCCTGTAGATAAGAGTAACTTTCGTGCGACTCAAGGAGAACAATGACCTGAATTTAGGTATTTGAAGGGTAGTTGATTCTTCTTATTAGTTTCATCACAATGGTTATTGTATTCAACCCTCACAGTAGTCGAGCCATGTTGACGCACAACCTCAACAGAGGACTGACAATACTGCTCGATGGGTGGTTACTTCAATACAGACGCAGTATTACTCTAATCAGTGCTGGCTGCAGGCATATTGTCCACACCTGACTCACGTAAACTACGAGCAGTTAGCATGCTGTTTTACTGCTAGCCTCAACAGGTGAAATGAGCATTAATTTGCCAACCTATGCTTGATAACTACTCATCTGTTAGCAATAAAACTGTTGGCAGACGACAACAAAGGCTCAGTGATTAGAGCGCAAAGTTACTGACCAGGAGGTCCGTGGTTCGAACCCGACCTCTGCTTCTCGACTTCTGAGCTGAAGACCTCTAGTGTCAAACGATTATACAGCAGGGTAATCAGACCAGTAATCGACACTACACCTATCGTCCCTCTGAAGTCTAGCGAGCTCCTGAAGGTTCTTTGTAGGAGGAATCTTGTCTCCACTGTGAACTGCCGCTTCAGAAGACCTGATAAGTCAAATTCCTAAGTGTAGTCGCCACAATCCCTAAATGACCGTACACTATGATCCAAAAGATCACCAAAACTAGTGACCAAATGGTTCTCCTCCCCCCAAATAACTTTCGGCATAAATATGTATCACTTTAGGTTTGTCTTGCGAACCACATACTTGGACTATATCATTTCATGGATAAATTCTCTTCGACTTACGGGGGAGGCACCTAATTTGCGTATAAAACCACATTTACTCTTATGTTCATAGTTATCTGCAGCTGACTGTGTGCACACTTTCCTTCAATCCTGACAGGTTACTCGCTAGGATTACATCTGCTTCATCTCCACTGCAGGCATGGACTATCAGAGTAGCCTGCGTTGTGCTGCCTGTTCAACCAGGCTTGGTAAGACAAGCCTAATTACAGCCATTGGCCGGAACAACAGTGAGACTCCTGTCGAAGAACTCTAACAATGCGCGTCTTTGCTGTGAAAATTATGCTTCATGATAAGTTGAGTACGCATGATTTGTGTGACAGATATTGAAGAAGCGATAGCGTAGTAATGGATGTTTCAGAATCCATTCGAGCAAGCCCATGTGTGAATAAAGGCAATGGTACCCCCAGGTTGAATGACACTCTACTGAGTAAGAGCCTATCAGAATTATCCGAGTTATAAATCTCCCCCATTCAACTAATTGCTTGCTACTTAGAGTGGAGTTGGTAAGCAAGCTAATCTCACTAGAATGAGCTTTTCCACTAATCGCCAAATCAAACTATTTGAACTCATAGACCGAGTCAGAAGTATTCAACAAATGAGTATATCACTTTTTTTTCATTCTTAAGATAGACTATGAAAGCTGAAACCCCAAACAACAAAACGTGCCCTTAATCAGTTTTCAGATAGTTGGACGTCTTCCTTTGGTTGTGGCCTTGTTTTATTTTGTCCCATCTCTATAAATAACCAAAAGTAGACTTTATTATGTTCCAAGGACTCAATATCGCCTATTACCCGTAAATGGATAATACATTAGTCCTTTTAGTCACATCAATTCGCTAGATTTGTGCACGCGTGCTCTGGTTTCTTGATCAACTTGCAAATGAGGGTAAAATCCAGAATGTCAAGCCTTGTTGTTCCTTCCTTGGCTTGGAGCAACTATTTCAATCCGTTCCTTGTTCTCGTTCTGACATTATATCTTCGTCATTCAAATTTTTGGGTCAATTACAAATTAGGTAGAAGGAAGGAGATAAATTCGGGAATAAAATGGGCATACTTTGTGCTGCTATGAGCCAAATAAAACAACAACAGACTTTCCGCATACTAACCACCTCCTCAATGACTGTTTTAGCGGCGTCGGCATTCATAGTTTACCCTTCGATAATTGAAAGTGAAGCAGCTAACTTGCGTCGTTCATAGTTGCTGTAAGAATTTTTGTTTTGTTTTCTGACATGGTTTGCTTTGGAACACGTAATAATCTTCCATAAGGCATCGTGTGAAAGAGCCTGAGAATCACTGCTATGCTGTTAACACTAGCAGATTCCCGAGGCTAGTAAAAAAACCCAAACAACCGGCCACTGACACTTTCTAATTAAAAAAATAAATCATCCATCTATCCATATGGCTTATTTACTCTACTTCGGTTCACTGCAACTGTGAACTATAGACAGGACGCTGGAATTTGTCTAGGCCATTTCCGCACATCATTTTGCATAAAAATCATAGCTAACTCTCTGTGTTAAAATCGGCATTTTGGTCGAACTATCTTATATTTGCACTCCCTACTGTGACGCACCTAGTAAATGCTGCAGAAAAAACATTCTCATTGTGTTAGCTACACAGTTAGACGGCTTTTACACACCGAGTAACGTAAAAGAGCCGCCTGGGACCAGCTATCAGATAACAGAGAATAAAACGGTCTGTTTTGTGCGTCACTGACTGTTTTACCTAGTCACTGACAAGTGTGGTAAAAGAAAATACCATGTTGGGGAATGGACATATTTACCCCGAAGGAGTTAAACCTTAAGAGATTTGGCTTCAGCCATACTTTCAAAAAAATGTAGTATCATTTAGTGGCAGCTGACTTTTCCGAGGAGACCGTGAAGTGTAGCTGAACAGTGAATTTCATCAGCCAAAGGAGCTGTCCTGCTTTTACCGTTATATGCCACTGTAGCTTTAGACCAGCTGAACAAGCGCAGCTTTCCCAACACCCGAACAGATACCGCTTTTCATTGTGTACCATGCTCCAAAGCTTGCTAGTCTGAGAAAGAACCACAAGAAAAGCTACTTTTCCTCAGCTTAGCTTATCTCGTTCACTACTTCGCATATACCTGTACGCCAAAAGTGTTTTACGTCCACCTTTTCCGACTGACTTGTCTTGGTTTCGCATCCCAAAATCCACTCCAGAACTGTGTATCGATGCCACCTGCATACAGACACATAAACCGTGCCCTTTAACATCAGCAGTCTCAGAATCTTACTTAATTCTACCAGTCCCTCATTTTTCCATTGCAGGTATTCCATCGCCCAACAGACTCCACACAAAAATTGCCAAAGAAAGAGAGCCCAGCGAAATGTGCACGATAAGACACTTATGCAGTAACCTTCTCGAAGATCATCCGGTCATTCCACAACCCACATAACAGTTTTCGTCCTATGATTGCGAGGGTTCAACATTATATCAGCTTATTTAAACAGGTCACCTTACCGCTGTTGTGTCTGCCAAGATGCGCAAGTTTTTTTTTACAACCCATAACCCCTGCAGCCGATACTTCTAAAAGGTTTTGAAAATCGCCTCTCCTCGCTTCTAATTTATGTTTTCTTTGTTCCATTTTCAATGTTCCTGCAATTAATTTAATTCTTTCAATGGGAGTTTATAAAACAATGGATGGATACTGACTAAACCTAGTGTATACAGCCCCGTCATCTTTTGTTTTTTTATTTTCATGGAAATTTTTTGTACGTCGTGACATGTGAAGAAACAGTACTGGTTATCTGTCGGAACACTCGGTTTCCGGGAGCACTTTGAATGTCTATCAACACTTCACAACACTTCTTTCCCAACACTGTGGACGAATTTTCCTTGCTGTTCCTCAGTTAGTCTGTCAATTCAGGGCAAAGTGAATCATGGACTCACCTGCGTCTGACACGACACGGATACATTTCACATCGTTAACCCTCACCACTCAGCTAAATCAAAACAGTGACAATAGAAACGATAGTCTAAATGGATATATCTTCGTGTCCAAACGGTCCAAACGAATGACCTTGTTAACAGAGAATTCAGGAAGATATGGCCTTCTGTTTTGTGCTTCGCTTCATACCGAGTAAAAACTAACCTAGACAACAGCGCCTGTCTAGTTTTGCTTGCGTCTTGATGAAGACGGAAGACATGACAGACAAAATTCAACCATGGTTAGCCTCATCTTCATTAATATCTATCACCCTACTACGGTCAAGGAGTGAGAAACACTGAGCACCAACGGGAGTTTATCTCAGTTTGCTGCTGTGTGAAAATTTCGTCACCCCTTGTGAAAACGTGTCCTAGACCAAGGTAATTAGCCAGATACACGTTCAGCTGCTGAACGTCTTCAAGTTCAAAATTTGCCCTAGACATGGCTATGCGTGCACATCTCCCATCCAGCCAATGTCTGCCATAGCCCGGAACCGGATAAAAGATAGATGCTCGTTTTGAATGTCACATCATTTTTGTCTTTGACGTACCAGTTGTCATTGTGTACACACACACGGACGTGAGGTGACTCACTTAGGCGAAACAAATATTTGCGATCTAACCAGGAATGAGCTGTTTGGCATTCTGACAACGTTTTTTTTCTTGTGGGAATAATCACAAAGTATTTGGCATAATTTCAAAGCACAAGAAAAATAATATCAGGATAGTTAGTGGATTTTTAGCAGAAAGTACTCCATGCCATTGAAAATCTTGTAAGAGATTATATGATATGTGAATACCTATAGTCCCTAAGTGTGTGGATGTTCAAGAATGACACTAGTTGCGAACTACACTCATTTGCACATCAAGTTCGCTTCCATAGGAGACTCACCTGAAACCAAGCTAGATTTCCCGTTTATGATATGATTGAATCTGATAGAGTCGAATAGAGGTCAGCTCATGTTTTACTTAGTGCACTATTCGGCATATTTCAGTGTATTTTCCTGAAAGGAAAGTACTTGTAAGTTTGCTGGAAACTCTTTGACAATCCACGACCGGTTTCGGGTTTGTTGGCCCTCATCAGACAGGCAGACTCTCTGAGTTTTGTCAACCTTGTGTTTTACTTGAATCCATTATGCACGAACTTCACACAACACACTCCTTTGCACACACACACACACACACACACACACACACTCATACCAATGTTGTCTTGTCTAGGCTTGGTTTATCCCACTGATATCTATAATTTGCCCTATATAGGTAATTAAGATACCCAGTAAACTGGAACTATAAAATTTCCGAGTGTCCCTTTGACTCTGAACATCAAATTCTTCTATTAAGGAGTAATTCCACACCGGATCTTCTCGCACATACTCTTGGACACTTGGAGATATTTTTATACTCACAAATTAGCTCCAACTTTCATCGGTTAGTAGTCGCTCAAGAATAGTATGTAAACTTTTTGATTAGATATCGGAGCCTTGAGTAAAACTTCCACCTCGTTAAATATGTATTCATTCTCTTTTTTCACTCCTGTGGCTGACATCGCTTTTCTTGAAAGGAAATAGCACTTTGCTCTGTTTCGGCTCAAAGTAATCACACTGATAACCAGTTACACGCGGTTGATGTGGTTAGCAACTCCTGTGTGATACTTAACAGGCTTAAGAGCTTACTCGAAACGCACACTAAATGACTGCCATCAGTGATGAGGTGTTGTATGCTGACATGGTTCTTTCGTATTGGTCGTTTGGTGCAGATGAACAGAAGAAACCATTGTCCTGAGATTGTCATTTCGAACACTAACTTAGCTGCACTGGTCAGTCAAAGCATGGGTACCGGAGTCACATTCCACGTAGTCGGCGAGCTGAACCACCTCCTCGTGGTGGTAGCCTGGACGTCTGTCTGGGTGAGCTAAGAGTTCAGCAACTCCAGACAGGGCCAACCACCCCGTTTGGTTTCAATGTGCTGGTTACTTTCGACAATGTATACTACGAATCATCTGGCGCCTCCGCACCAGTTCCAACCAGTACACAGGAAAGTCTCGTTGGGTTCACGTGTGAGGAATGTGGCAAGTGCTGCAAATCGAAAGCTGGCTTTGTAGCCCATCATCGAGTTCACGACAATGGAAGTGTTGGTACGAACACAGTCGCCCAATTGGCCTGCGCTGATTGTTCCCGCCTTTTTCCGACGAAGATTGGCCTGAGTCAACACCGCCGGCACGCACACCCCACCCAGCATAATGCAGATAAGCTTGGCCGAGTGAAGTATTCCAGTACCCGCTGGTCCCAGCAAGAGTCACAATCGCTCTTACGCCTGGCTAACAATCTATATCCATCTTGCGGCACGCAAACCGAGCTGTTCACGAGATTGGAGCAGTATTTTCCTGGCCGATCGGCTATCAGCATCAAAACCAGGTTACGGGTGCTTAACTGGCAAGCACAACAGGACGAAACATCATCTGGTGAACCTGAGCAAACTATCAGTCAGACGACGGCCTACTCATCAGAAGCCGATGACTACAGCGTCTGGTTTAAACAAACCGTGGATTGCACCGTGTCACTCTTGAAATCCCATGCTGACCGTTCGCTCGCTAGTGTTGACCTTCTGGCATTTCCCCGAGGGTTGCAGTCTGGCATCATGACACCGGAGCAAGTCCTGTCGCTTCTGAACCTCCACGCCTCCAGGACATTTCCACACACCTGGAAAACTGTTTCCCGACGTCGCCG